CGGCATTCCTGTTGAGACGAGTCTGGCTCTGTCTCCCAGGTTGCAGTGCAGTGGCGCCATCTCGGCTCACTGCAAACTCGGCCTCCCGGGTTCGAGCAATTCTTGTGCCTCAGCTTGCCGAGTAGCTGGAACTACAGGCGTGCACCACCGCGCCTGGTTAATTTTTGTATTTTTAGTGGACTGGATTTCACCATTTCGGCCAGGCTGGTCTCGAACTCCTGCTCTCAGGTGATCTGCCTGCCTCGGCCTCTCAAAGTGCTGGGATTACAGGCGTAAACCACCACACCAGACCTCCCTGGTCTTCTTAAAGTGAATCAATCCGAATTCCTGCAATCCATGTAACTGCTTTGAGTGACTCTGGAACCCTCTTTGAAGACCCCACAAATACCTAAAAGAGGAGCAGGAGCGCTACAACACATTCCCCTAAACTGTGTTTCTAAGAACCATCCAACTACCTGTGGAACCCTAAGGCCCCTTCCTCATTCTCTTTACCAATATCCTGGCAATGGTTGCTTGAGCCTAGTTAATGACAGAAGCTCCAGCCAGATGCTGTTGGGGGTCCTCTACGAAAAGATACCGCCATTCCCGAGGGTGATACTGCAGCGGCCCAGTACTTGTGCGCATAGAAGCTAAGGGGAAATTGCCCTACCCTAAACTCCAGTGAAAAGCCCTTTGCAGTCCGACAGGCTTGCATTCACATCCCAGCAGTGTGGGGTTTGGACAAATTCCATAATCTGAGTCTGCTTCCTCTTCTAGAACGCGAGTCTATGAATTCCTGTCTACTGCCTGGAAGTGCCGCTGTCAGGACTGACTAAGATAATGTGTGTACTTTCGGTGCACAGGGGACGCTCAACACGTGCGAGCTTCCCTTGCAGAAAACCAAGAGATGAAAGGCTGGGGGCCGCCCCTGCCTTGACGTGCATCCCATACTCTCCGAGATCATCTCTCCCCAGCTAGCGCTTACTCCTGCCCAGGAACCAGATCCTGGGGCCTCCGGGTAGCTCCGGCTAAGGCGCGGGAAGCAGAGGGGGCCAGCACCCCCAGAGGAGGAGGTTGGGGGGGAAGGAGGCCGCGCCTTTCCCCGCCCCGGGCCTCCCCCCGTCTTGCTCTCCCTCCCCGGACTACCTCCTCCCCCCGCGCGCATCCGGCGACGGGCACAGGATGTTCTTTCGCTCCCGTCCCCGCTCCGCCCCCGCTCTCACTTTCTCTTCGCTCCCCTCCCCCACTCGCGCCGCGCCCGGCGCCGGCACCTAATTTAACTCTTTCTCTCCCGCGCTCGGCGGCGCCTGTGCGCCTCCTGGGCGGGGGTCCCATCCTTCCCGCCCGCCCCCCAGGACGTGGAGCGACGGGGCTGCCCGGGAAGGGGCGGGCCTGAGCTGAGCGCTGGGCCCAGGTTCTCAGGATCCTTTAGCCCGCAGCTGGTGGAGAGGGCTCACCGGGATCCGGCACTCTAGAACCCCCGCTAGTTCACCCGGGTAAGGGTGGGGGTGGAGATGGGTACCCACACTCGAGACAGCTGCGCGCCCAAGAAAGGCGGCCAGGCGGGCTTAGTTGCTGGCCTGGCGGGGGGCGAGTAGGGTCAAGGGCCACCAACCTCATCCTCCCCCCAGGTTCGGATGCGGAGGGGCCCAGGGCACCAGCAGAGGATGGAGAGAGGCCACGCCCCTCGGCGACGTCACTGATGTCAAGGCAACCGGGGGCGGGACGGTGGGCTACTGAAGGGCAGACCTCAGGGAATTGAGGCTGCCGGTGGCTCTGGGACGGGGTGGGGGTGGGGGTGGGGGTGGGGGTGGGGGCGCAGCAGGGGCGGGCTTTTCAATTTGCTTCAGTCAATGATGTCCAAAAAACGGAGTGAGGGTCAGCTTCTGTTCGCTCTTTGATTCAACAGGCATTTATTGAGCGTTATGCTTGGGGCTGTGCTTAGGCACTGGGATATTGCGTGCCATCCGAACCCTGCCAGTTGTTGTGAACTACGGTAGGGTGGCTCTGCGTCCCTGGAACGGACGTAATTATTAACAGTGCCCCTTTTCAAGTTTAAAGTGTCCCAGTATGGGCAGTAGTTAAGGAACACCTTTCTCCCAATTCAGAAAAGGCTCCAACCATACGGGGAAGGAATATAAACTATTCGGTACAACAGGCACTTTCCTGGTGCTTTGTATTCTCTGTAATTTTTGCCCCTCATTCTGCAAAACGAGTGTCACTAGCGACTTTTACAGACGAAGAAACTGGCTCAGAGAGGTTAAGAGACTTACCCAGGGCCAAACAGCTAAGTGTTGGAACCAGGATCCAGACCCAAGTTTTATGTGCCCTCCAAAGTATTTCGTGCCTGCTTCTCAAAATAAGTAGATGATGTCAAATGAATAAAAGACACTGTCCCTGCCATTAAAAAGCCTACAGCCTATGGGAGAAGAGGTTTAAAATACTGCAGGACATAACTAAGCAATAAAACATAAAAAAGATTAGGTGGGGCACGGTAGCTCACTCCTGTAATCCCAGCACTTTGGGAGGCTGAGGCGGGTGGATCACCTGAGGTCAGGAGTTTGAGACCAGCCTGACCAATATGGTGAAACCCCGTCTCTACTAAAAATGCAAATATTAGCTGGGCGTGGTGGTGTTCAACTGAAGTCCCAGCTACTCGGGAGGCTCAGATAGGAGAATTGCTTGAACTGGGGAGGCAGAGGTTGCAATGAGCCGAGATCGCCCCACTGCACTCCACCCTGGGCAACAGAGCAAGACTCAATCTCAAAAAAAGAAAAAAAGAAAGGAAAAGATTAAAGGCAGCTCACAGGCTCAGAGGGAAGCCACTAGTTATGCCACTCTCCTTTCCACATTCTGCCCTCCTCTGTGGTTTTGTCTCTTACTGAACAGGGACTCCTAGCAGGCATCTGCCCTCATTCTACTCTGCACCCAAGGTTTTGCAGTTGGTATTTGCCACAACCTTCCTGATATTAACTTGGATGTCGGCCTCTCCCTTCCCCATCAGCTCCCCACCTCCAGCCACCTAAGATTTTGGGGAAATGAAAAACAATGGCCCTTCAAAACAAAAGGGCCCCAGTGAGCATTGGGAAGCCAATAGGCTTGATGGGACTGGGGAGACCAAGGCAGGAGAGAGAATCGGAACGGTGGAAAGGGAACACCACCAAATGGATGGGTCACTTGAGGAACATTTGCTGCCCTCCTGCTGTGCAGGAGGCACTGCACTCAACCCTGTGGCCTGGACATGCCATGAGTGAATTCAGGTCCCATCTCACAAAGAATACACAGGTTAGCTAGTGTACTCACTGTGCTTGGTTGAGGAGTCTGAAGTTGATAACATACACAATAAATGATGTTTGAGAAAGATTATTCCAGCAGGGTGTGTAGGAGGAAGGAAAAAGAAAGGACAGTGTGGCAGCTGCTGTGAGAATTTGGGCCAAAGGTGGAATCTATGGGGCTGGAGGGGAAAGGGTGAAGGAGAAAAGTAATGAACAAACAATATATTTTGAAATAAAAGCAACAAAGGGAAGAATTTGATAAGATATCAGACATAAGGATGATGAAGGATAGAAAGTAGTTAAACATTAATCTACCTTTGCAGTGAGTTTCAGGACTGGGAGGGTCATGGTGGGCAATGGGGAGGAGCTGGTGTGAGGGACATGAATATGAGTTCAGTCACTTTTAGGCCATGTAAGGGCAGGTGTCCCGTAGGTGACTGGACTTGGAGATAGGGAAGTCCAGAAGAGCAGTGGGCTGCTGTCTGAGAGTGTCCCTGTCATAGCCTCGAGCAATCACTGACCTGGGATCACAGACAGATTTCAAGCATCAGGAAGAAGGTGGGAGTAGATGGCAGTGAAGGTGCCTCCCAACTGGGAGATGCAGTGTGCATTGGCTGGGTGAGAGCCTGTGTGGGAAGTGTGATGTATGTATGGGAAGGGGGTCCACGGCTCAGGCCTGTGTTGGCATCTTTAGCCACAGAGGATGCCAGAGATGCCATCAGATGGCAGGAGGCCCAGGTAAGGCACTTCAGCAGCCTGAGGTCCCTCCCCTAGGCCCACCCTCAAAGGCCCTGGAGCCCAGGCCTATGCTGCCTGCCAGGGCCTTTCCCGGAACCACTCCTCCCCGCCTGCCCTGGCACTCTCCAGGCACAAAGCATCCCTCAGGGCACTGCGCAGCACCCCAGGAAGCTGGGACGTGGGACAGGTCCCCATCCCCAGGAAGAGCCCTGCTCTGGGCTGCTGTCATCATCACAATGGCCCCACAAGACGCCAGGAGACAGCATAGGGACAGCATAAGTCCCCAGTGGGGACCCCAAATGGGACCCCATTGCCCCTGCATAGAGGTGGAAGGAGGAGCTTTGTGGCTAGGTGGCAGGATTCCTGGGTCTTTATTGTGGTTTGGGGGTGGGGGCAGAAAAGCAGGGTCTCAGGCTTCAAAACACCACACCACCTGCCTGTCCCTCCCTCCGAGGAGGAAATCTTCAGGGGCCTTGTGGTTTTGAGGGCAGGGGGCAGGAAGAGACTCTGAACTCTGGGTCAGCTGAGGACAGAGATAGGGGAGATCCTCTTGCCCTATGTCCCACTTTTCTCCTAGGATCCTCTTCCTCGGCTCCCTACTCCGCCACTACCCGAGAACAAACTCCTACCTCTGTTTGCAACTAAGAGTTACATCCCCCATGCCAAGACCTTCCGAGGCGTCCCAGAGGGGTGAGGTTTGGGGAAAACAGAACATGTACACAGCAGCTGTGTGCCTGGCCACACCTGTCGGGTGGGGTGAGGAGAGTGCTCCTCCCAGGTGGGCAGAGCCTGCTGCGCTCAGGCTGGGGGCTGGGAGACGCTTTAATACAGGGGCTAGATGGCAGAGAGATGCGCAAACCGGCCACGTGGAGGTCCAGCGCGGTAGGCTCGGGCGCAAGCAGAGGAGCGGGCCGTACGCTCGCCCCTCCCGTTCCAGGGAGCCGCCGAGTGCCGGGTCGTCGCTGACCGCAGGCTGCAAGAGCGGTTGATCTGGTGAGCGAGCACACCCACTTACCCAGCTGCTGAGTCAGGCTGTTCTCGCTCGCGCTCGCCCGCCCGCCCGCCCGCTCGGGACATTGTGTTCCAGCCCCGGCGCGCTGGCAGCGGGCCCAGGCGCTCACACCAGCCTCCTCGCCCTGTTTGTGCTCGCGGCTTGCGCTCGGCGCGCAGCCTCCCGGCCGCCGCAACCATGCGATTGCACGCTGGGGCAGGGGCTGGCCAGCAACCTCCGGGGTGCGCGTGGGCCCCGCAGCCCTGCCCACTCACCGGCCTTGGAGCACCCAGGCCTAGCCATCCCCCATTTGCCCCTGGTTGGGTACCCCAGGCTTGGGTGGCGCCTGGATTAGCACAGCTGGGGGAGGGAGCAGGTGTGGGGAGCTCTACGAGCAGAAGGAGCCACCCAGGCTGCCGCCAGCGCTCTCCAGCGCTCAGTCCGTGCCTCTCCAGCGCTCAGTCCAGGAGGCAAGAGGAGGATAGCTGGAGCTCGCCAGCCCCAGACTTGCGAGACCTGGGACGCAGTCATGTGACAACGGAAGCCCGTGTTGAGGGGGCCAATTCAAGCAATCCCCAGGAGGAGCCTCCCCTTTCCTAGCCTCCCTTCCCTGATCCTTCACAGCAGCCTGGAACACGGAGACTCCAGGGATTCCCGGGGCTGGCAAACCAAGCCCAGCCCTTTTGGACGGTTTGGGAAATCCCTGGCAGGACGCCGGGAGTAGGGAGAGCCCAGACACTGGCGGGTGGGTGTGGACGACAGGGTGGAAGAAGGGCAAGGCCAAGGAAGACGACCCCAAGCTGACCCTGGAATCCGACCCTTCCCTGTGTTTAGCTCCAAACCCCGGGTTTATTCAGAGCCACGTTTTCTCCTTAGCCATCCTTCTGTGGAAAGACATCACTAAGTGCTGGTCCTAAAGATCCCGCTGTCTCCAAACCAGGGAGGGGACAAAGCATTTATATAGCATGTCTGCCATGAGGAAGGCTCTGTGTTGGGTCCTGCTAGAGAATGTCACTATGAGGTTAAGACACAGTCCTGAAGTCCTTTGTTCTCTCTCCTTCCCACCTCCACAGTTTGCTGTGCCATTTCTCATGCCAGGAGTGCCCGTCCTCCCTGTCTACCCATCTCTGCTGCTCCAGTTCATAAAGCTTCCTTGAAACAGTGCCAGCCAAATCTGATTCCCATCTCCTCTGAACACCCAGCACACTCAGTTTGTACCTTTCTCATGGCACAGCGTGTGGCCTGTCTCATATTCTAGAGATCTGTTTACTAATCCTGTTCTTCTAACCAGATTAGAAAGTCCTTGAGGCAGAAACAAAGTCTGCTTCTTCTTTGAGCCCTCTCCTCTACTGCCCCTGCCTCCCGCCACCATTCCAACTCATCCCCCACAGTCCAGGCTCAGCACCGGAGTTCATGTTCAATAAATATTGGGTGTATTGAAATGATATCCTCCCCTTGGGCAATTGAAGAGACAAACACACTGCATGTTAGGTTAAATAATAACCCAAGCCAGCAGGTGGTGAGTACCAAATGTGTGTAATAGCTATAGGGACTCAGAAGAAAGAAGGTGGTGATATGGGAGAAAGATCCCAGGAGGTTCTAGGCCTTGAGCTGTGTGTGTGTGTGTGTGTGTGTGGAGGAGGAGGAGAGGGGAGGGGTGGATGTGACTCATTCTGGTTGACATCACCACAAAACAACCTCCACGCTAGGCACTTCACATGCATTATCTCTAATATTTAAGGTTGGGGGTATAGGATTGGGAGGCTTGGAGGGGACGGTGCCCAAGCCAGGCCCGCCTTCCCAAAGCCAACCAGAGCACAGAGGCAGCCTTGGATCTGGGTTCCCCACCCTCAGTCCCTGGGCCCTGTCTGTTCTCTGGCCTGCCACTCCTACATACTACACCCAAGAGAGCTGCCCAGCACTGCCTAGTTCTGGATGCACTTTGGTCCCACCCTGGTGAACAACTGCCTGTGTGACCTTGGACAAGGCACTTCCTCGCCGTCATCTGTGCCTCTCTTGCAGCCCTTACAGGCTGTGACTTCCAGCCAGTATCCAAGTGATGTTTGCCGCCTTTCCGGGTGTCACCTAGGCTGCTGTGGCTGTCTGCACCCCACATTCCCCCAAACACCCCATGCATACACACTTATTGCTCCTTCCCAGTCTGGAGCTGCTGAGAGGAACAGGGTACAGAGTGTGAGCAGGGATGGTAGGTTTCCTGTGGTTGCAAAAGGAACATCAGGACTTTCCCTGCGGTGCCCCGAGCTGTGGGAGAAGTGGGGGAGGAGGAGGCAGGGCCAACCTCGAAGGAACCTCTGCTCTCTTCCCTCCCCTTTTTAGTGCTCACAGCTCTCAAAAAGGCTGGTACAGTTTGTTACGCTGGGGCCGGAATGTACCGTGTGTTTCATATGGCCTCTGTCCAGTCCTACACTGGCCGCTTTATATTTATACTTCCTTCTTTAGCTGTGGCATCCTGCTGTCAGTTACCCCTACTCTCATCTCCCCATCTTCCACTTGGGCTCCCCAACCCCCCATGGATCAAGAAATGAGTCTCCTACTTCCCACTCCCAGTCTTTAGGTTCTAAACTCTTGCTGGGGGTGGAAGGGTGAGGTGCAGAGAGACCCTGTAGAAGTTAAGACTCCAGAAGGGTGAAGTCCCCAGTCCTTTCTCCCATTACCCAGCCTTGAAACTGCCTCTGAAGCTGTGGAATCTCCACACCAGGTCTGGAGTTTCTCTGGACCCTTGAGGCTGATCCCTCTCCCCTTGCTAGCCTTGTTTCCCAAGCATTTTAGCAATATTCCTGAGCCCAGCTAGACAAGCCCAGTGACAGCACTATGTAAGTTGCCTCCAAAAGCTTGGCAGACCTGGTAATCACAGATCCTTCCTTGTCAGTCACAGAGAACAGAGGCAGAGGTGGGGGCCTGGCAGCAGGGAGGGGAATCTACCTATACTGTCACCCGCAGGAGTCACACATTCCTAATGGAATTTGACGCTTGATGATTTCTCAATGATTTTCTGAGTTGTGACCAGTTTAATCTCCTCAAAGTGGCTTAGATATTGAGAGACTAATATGTTTATGATCTGGCCTTCCTCCCACAGGAGCATGGGATATTATTATTCACATCGATGGCTAATCTTGATTGCTTATATGGAGAATTATCTCTGCACAGCAACCCCCACCAGTGTTTGGAACGCAAAGACTGTGGCGCAGGAGACTCACTACTAGACCCATGGTTGAGGTTCAGGTCTTTATTTACAGGATCTCATTTACTCCTCAGAACAATTCTGGGGTGTGGATGCTATGGTTAGCCCTCTTTGACAGTTAAGGAAACTGAGGCTCAGAAAAACAACAGAGCTCAGCTGAGATTCACACTCAGGTCTGTCTGACACCAAAGCCAGCACTTTTTTTTTTTTTTTTTTTTTTTTGAGACAAGGTCTCACCCTGTTGCCCAAGCTGGAGTACAGTGGGGAGATCATGGCTCACTGCAGCCTCAACCTCTGGGGCTCAAGCAATCCTCCCACCTCAGCCTCCTGAGTAAATGTCCCAAGTAGCTGGGATTACAGGTGTGTACCATCACACCTGGCCAAAGCCCGCACTTCAAAATAGTCTTTGATTTGCTCAGATTATGTACCTAAAATGCAAATCCTCCATTTCTCAAGCCTCCAGTCTTACTCCCTCCTCCCTTCAAATGAAGGAGAATTCTGCCTCCTTGGAGCTCCTACATGCCTTGAGGTGTGATCTGACAGCTAGAAAATTGTTTTTAGCCCATTTGACAGGCAGCAATCTGGATGCTAGCAAGGCCCCAGAGGACAGTCTCAGCAGTGGAGTTGGACAGACAGGCCTGCTGGCTGTGGGCTCCGTGTGTCTCTTGGCTGCTTGGCATGCCTGCTGCCCCTCACCCTTCACCCAGGAATAAACTGCCTGGTTGTATTGATTTGGCTCTGGGATCCAGAAACCATGGGCTGAGCCTGGGTTCCGGGGCTCTGAAGTCAGGTCTATCTGTGGCACCCAGTGACAGTGACACAGCCTCTCTTAGGACCTGTTCACAGCAGACCTTTGGGAGAAAGCACCACCATTATGTCAATCCCTGGCATTTGTATCAGGCTGTGTACATTTAATGTACCTGCCTTAACTCAGTATGATCTTAATATGCCTCTAAAGTAAGAATCAGACCCACTTTCCTGCTGGGAAAACTGAGGCAAGAGCAGCTAAGTTGCATGCCTAAGGGCAAGAAACTAGGTTTGTAGTTGCTGTCTGGGGTGCTTTGTTTCCTGTCACAGGGCCTCTCCTGAGCTAAGAGAGGAAAAGTTTTCCAAGATGTCCTGATGATGTGTGGGCTTTCACTCAGCCCTATCACCCAAGGAAGGGACCACAGCACCACGCTGCCCATGCCAACCTTATCTGCCTATCCCCAGGGGATGAAGCAGGAACACCAGACATAATGTATTTAGTTGGCCTGTTCTGGTCTCTGGCAATCTGTCCTCTATGGCTTTCATGGGCACATTTTGTCTTTCTGAACTTCTTCTTTCTCTGAGTTCATTTTTCTTTGTTTATCTTTCCTTCTGAATTTCTCTCTCCTTGTTCACTGAGAGTCCTGTTTGCCTCCATCTATCTGTGTTTACTTTTTATTTTTGCTTTTTATATTTCCAGTCTTCTGGGAATTTTCCCAAGATCCCTTCTGCCTTCTTCCCTCCGACACCATCTTGTTTCCCAGAAAGCATCTTCCATTTGTTCCTACCCCCATGCCCTATGCCTCACCTTGTCCCAAGCTTCTTCCAGTGTCAGATTGCTCAGCCTTGTTAATCCAGTGGGTACTTATGGAGCACCTACTGTGTGTCCCAGGAATTGAGTTAATGCCCTAGGAACCAAAGTCTAACACCTGTGCCTGAGCATTTCTTTATTTATTTTTATTTTTATTTATTTTTTGAGACAGAGTCTCTGTTGCCCAGGCTGGAGTGCAGTGGTGTGATCTCAGCTCACTGCAACCTCCGCCTCCTGCATTCAAGCAATTCTCCTGCCTCAGCCTCCCAAGTAGCTGGGATTACAGGCGCCCGCCATCACGCCCGGCTAATTTTTTGTATTTTTAGTAGAGACAGCATTTCACTGTGTTGGCCAGGATGGTCTCGATCTCCTGATCTCATGATTCACCCACCTTGGCCTCCCAAAGTGCTAGGATTACAAGTGTGAGCCACCACGCCTGGCCATGCCTGAGCATTTATTAAGCACCTACTGTGTGTGTGCCAAGTATTGTGCTACAAACTGGGGATACAAAACCTGGTCGCTGCCCTCCTATGGGCTACTTGGGAAGTCTGAGTCCCTAGTTTACTTAAAAACAGATCATTATAATGTCTTGGGAAGTTGGGGACTGGGTGTGACCAGAGCAGAAGGTTCAGGGAGAGAGGAACTGGCCAGGCAGAGCAAGGGTGCAGGGCGTTCCAGGTAGAAGGAACAGTGTGTATAAAAGCATACAGGCGTGAAGCAGCCCGGTGTTCTCTGGTGGGCACTGGGAGTTGTTTGGTCTGGCGGGACATGGAGTGCAGGTTGGAGAGCCCGGGGAGATGAGGCCAGAGGCAGGCAAGCCCAGATGGTGCAGAACCTCGTGTTCCAACAAGAGTTGACCTTTATCCTGGAGCAGCCGAAAGCCCAGGCAGCCTCATGGTTCCCTGCAGCCCGGGAGCTTCAGAGCTGAGTCTGGGTCAGAGCCAGGCCCAAAGCACTCTCCTCTGATCCCCCATTAGCCCACATTCACAGCCCTCAGCAAGGCCTGCGAGAGTTAGTCACTTAAATATAATGCTATTTCCAAAGCTCATTCATTCATTCATAAATGTTTAGCAAGCTCTGATGTTTGCCAGGTGCTGCTCTGAGCACCATGAATGGGTCATTAAACCCCACAGAGGTTCCAGCTTTCAAGAAACGTATATCCTTGGCAGTTGGGAAGGGGACAGACCATAAAAAACCAAACAGAACAAAGAAAGAAAATTTCAGATCACGATATGTGCAAATAAGAAAATGAAACAGGGATGCAATGGAGTGTGATGGGCGTCTGCTGAGTAGTCAGGGAAGGCTGCTCTGAGGAAGGTTATGTTTGAGCTGAGACCTGGTTGACAAGAACAAACCAGTCATGTCAACATCTGCAGGCTGAGGGTTTCAGGCACAGGAAACAGCACAGCACATGCAACGTCCTCAAGGCATGAAAGAGCTTTGTGTTTTCCAGGTTTAGAAAAAAGGCTGAGGCCGGGCGCGGTGGCTCGACGCTTGTATCCCAGCACCTTTGAAGCCGGACGGGCGGGTCACGGTCAGGAGATCGAGAGCATCCTGGCTAACACGGTGAAACCCCAGTCTGCTGCTTAAAAAATCAAAAAATAGCGGCGAGTCCGGGATTTGGCGGGCGCCTGTGAGTCCAGGCTACTCGGGAGGCTGAGGCGGAGAATGGGCGGGAACCGGGGAGGCGGAGTTGCCGTGAGCTGAGTCGCGGCACGCACTCCAGCCTGGGGGACAGAGCGAGACTCCGTCTCAAAAAAAAGTGAAAAAGAAAAAAGGCCTGGGCAATCAGCCCTCTCTCGCTCCTGTTGCAAGGACATTTGGTCATGGTCTACCCATTTGTGAGATGGAAACTGGAGCTTGTCAGGAAGGTTAGTTTGGTTGATCAAGAATCACAAACTGGCAGTAGAATTTTGGTGTAAACCACTTATTGTCGGCTGGCAATGGTGGCTCAGTCTGTAATCAGCACCTTTGGGAGGCCGAGGCAGCAAATCACCTGAGAGTCAGGAGTTCGAGACGTAGCCTGACAAATGGAGAAACCCCCGTCTCTACTAAAAATAACAACAATTAGGCCGGTGTGTGGTAGACAATGGCTGTGGCTCAGCTCTCGGAGGCTGAGGCAGGAGAATCGTTTGGCCAGGAGGCGGAGTGTTTATGTGAGCGAGAGCCTGCATGCACTCAGCCTGGAACAAGAGGCAAACTCATCAAAAAAAAAAAAGCCATATTTTTTGGGGTATTTTGGACTTGCTGGTGCACGTAATGTGTGTGGTTTTTTTTCTACCCTAAGGATTCAACGTCAGCAACCATGTGTTCTAATATATCTGGGATGGTCAATTTTTCTAATTCTTTTTTTTTTTTTTGAAGATCAGAGTCTTCACGTCGTTTTCTGTTTCGCCGGCTTGGAGTGCAGTGGCATGATCTCAGCTGCTAACTCCACCTTAGTCAAGAATTTTCCTGCCTCAGCCTCCGAGCTGAGTTACAGCGCCTGCACCCGCCTAATTTTTGTATTTTAATAGGGCGGTGGTTTCATCCCATGTTGGCCAGCCTGGTCTCAAACTCCTGACCTCAGGTGATCCACCCACCTCAACCTCCCAAAGTGCTGGGATGAAAGGCGTGAGCCACCGTACCCGGCCCTAAAATTCTTACTGTCTCCTGGACAGTCATCTTGGACATGCTCTGTGTTCCATAACATGACTTCAAGCCTTGTCTTTGTCATGTACTACCAGTGGGATCCTAGACTAGCATTTCAGCACTTTAAGCCTCAGTTTCCTAATTTGTAAATAGGGAGGAATTGTAATCATTCCAATATCACAGGCTTGCTGGGAGGATTAAATGAGATCATCCACATCAGGGTTAGCACAGTGCCTGGAATGGCGTACCTGTGAAATTAATGGTGATTCTTCTTTATTGTTACCTTGGGAAATGGAGGCCAACTGCAGGATGATGGTGGCTCCAAGCAGCTGGGGACCCAAAACATGCACAGAGAAAGAGAGACCAACAATGTGAGGCCTCTGATGCATGAGACAGGCAGGGGAGTAGTGGGAGGAGAGAGCAAGAGTGAGCAGCCAGGAGGGCCTCTTCCCTTCCCTTTACCCAGCCTCTCACTCCTCTGCTAGGATCCTACATTGACACATCTTGTACTTCCTGTTTCCAGGGAAATTCCTCACTGCCAGACTGCACCCACCCTTGAGGACCTCACAATCTCTTTGGGCAGAGCAGAAGCCATACAGAGACAGGGACTACGAAGCGACAATCCCCAGCCCTGTGTGTTCAAGGAGCCCCCGAGGGGCAGGCAGCCACGCTGCAGAAGGCTAGCCTCACCGACCCCCAGGGAGCCCGGCGTGGGCTGCAGGGACAGAACGCTTCTCAGAGGAGGTAGGGACCCCATGGAGTACGTGACACCGGGCCCTCCAGCTGCATGCTCCAGTTAGCAGGACAGAGACCCCTCCCCACCCATTCCCAGCCTTCCCTGGCTTCCTGCTCTGCTGCTGGGAGGCCCTGTCACCACACATGCGCGTGCACGCGCTAACACACACACCCCTCCCAGGCACCCCCGGAAGACCAGCTGCAGCTGGGGGTGGGGGTGCACAGAGCACAGCCAGGGTTCTCAGATCCCTAGTCTGCTCTCCCACCCCGCCCTAGCCCCCAACTGCCGAGCTGCTTCTAGGTTTAAAGCAAAACATGACTCTGTCCTTCCTGCTGCTCAGTGGCAGCAACACTGCCTCGGGTTATTTTTAGCAGGGATGCAGGGAAGGCACAGTTCTCCTTGACTTTAACTAGGGACAACCCCCAACCCCCAGCCAAGACTCACTGGAGGAGGCCGGGTACGGAAACCCCCCTCCCAGAAAGGGGAAATGGTGTGTTTTCTGTTCCTTCAATTCACTAGAATGGGAGTTGCAGTCAAGCTTGGGGTTGAACTGATGGGAAATTCTAGGTTCCAAAGCCTATGTGTGGGCTCTGCCCCATTCCTGGTCTCTGTGTTTCCATGAATCCGGGAAGCGAGAGGCACACGGTGTCTGGAGTGCCCCGTCTGTGGGTGTTGATGGGATCCCTGGGAAACTGTTTGGTTATAGCCAGGCTCTGTGGACTACACAGGGGCACCAGGCATTGTGGGTGGTGTTTCACAGGCGCTGGCTAAATAATTCATTAAACTGAGCATGTTCATTCCTTGTATTTTTCCCTATGTATATCTTTTAGATGCTAGCAGTGCTTTATGAGGTATAATGTACATACATTCCACATACAGTAAAATGCACAAATCTTAAGTGTACAGCTTGATGAATTTTGACAAATATATCTGCCCATGTAACCATCACCTAGATCAAGATTTCAGACATTTTCACCACCTCCAAATTCCTTTGTGCCCTCTTCCAGTCAGTCTCCACCGCAGAGGCAACTGATTCTGATTTCTATCTATCACCATAGATCATGTGTGTGTTTTACAAAGTTAAAAGAAATACAGCTGCTGTCATAGAAGAGGGAAATGAGCAATAAAGTTCTTAACATGAAAGGGAGGCCTCAAAAAAGGGGGTTACTGGAACTGGAAAAAAATGAAGGTATCATTGGCCTGGGAAACAGGAGGTTTCAGACTCAGCCCAACCCCTCAGGGTTGGGACCAGAGGGCTTGGGACACTTCTTGGAGCAGAGAGGCTGTGAGTTGGGAGGGGGCAAGGGGAGGGCCAGCCGTGGCTCAGGCCCAGCTGCCTCCTGTTCTGCTAGAGGTCCCTGCCCCTCCTCCCGGCCCTCCCCACTGCGCAGTTTCAGCAAGGCCAAGGCTGCAAGGAAAGGTTCTCTCAGGGGCATCCCCCCAGAGGGAGAGTTTAGGGCCCCTGTGTAGTTAGGTTATTTGTTTTTCTTGCCATCCTCTTCAAGGTCGGGGACTCCTACATCCTTTGTCCTGCCTGGGAAGGGGAGAGGCTGAGGCTGTCAAAGTACAGTGCTAGGGAAGAGTCACGATGCTTTTCATTCTGTCCTTCCTTTCTTCATTCAGAAACAGTTATCTGAGCACCTATGTCGTGCCGTAGATTCTGCCAGGTGCTGGGGATAGGAGGATAACTAAGCCACATTTTAGCTTGCTATGGAGTCCCAGTTGGCATTCCCAGGTGAGGCCAGGCCTTATACCTCCTTCATATTGGAGATGAGGGGCCCAGAGAGGGGAAGTGACTTATTCAGAATCACACAACTAGCTGCAGGCAGAGGAAGGCAAAGAACAGGGATCCCTGATTCAGCCCTAGATGGGGACAAGAAAGCAAAGGAAACCAAACCAACAGCCGACTCCCCGGTGTTCCCTCCTGCAAGCTTTTTAGGATAACAAAAAGCACTGACCTGGAGTAAGAGGACCTCATTTCTACTGCTAGGTCTTAGAAACACTTCCTCTCTCTGGGTCTCAGCTTTCTTCCGTGAACACGCGGGAGGCAGCTTGCAGGGGACCTCTGACTCTCGCAAGCACACCCTGCATTCTCCTGCCTCTGTGCCTTTGCTCGGGTTGTTTCTGCCGCCTGGAATGCCCCCTTTCCCCTCCCACTTCCTTCCTCTGACATTCTCCTAATCATTTATGGCCTAATTCAAATGCCACCCCCAGAGGCCCCCCAGTCCTTGGGCATCTGGGGAGTGGTGTCACCCAGGTCTCCACTACCAGAACAGACAGAGCCTCCTCCATTTTGCAACCCTCCCATCCTAGGGCACAGCCTTCCAGGGAGATGGGGTCAGTCACTTTTGGAGGAATTGAAGGGATTTATTCCTCCCGCCCTACACTTTCACATGCCCCTTTTCAACATTCAGAGACTGATGTCATCCTTCTGCTGGGCCTCCAAGACATTGTACTTTCTGCTGGCCATGCCAGCCCAGGCTGGAGCATCAAACTTGGGCACTTCTGGCAAAGGTGGCTGCCCTGGGAGGTGACCCCAGGAAGGACAGCGGGGCCTCAGCCAGAAGCACAGCTGCCCCGCCTCAGTTGTCCATCCTCATTCACAAACACCCGAGCAGAAATCCTCCTTCCACCACAAACACATGAATCCTGTTCCCACAACCATATCCAGACCCACTCCTACCTGCCTGCCCACAACAGCAAGTTTGCGAAAATGTCCCCCACTGCTCCCACAGCTCCCCTGCCCCTCCCGTGGGTGGGCATTGTCACGGGTGCACATTCATTGCACATACACACAGGGCACACACAGACATGCACATGGGCGCATAATGGGCAACACAGATGTGGACACATGCATGCATACACACAGATGCATACATGGGCACATAGCCCCACAAACACATGTGCACATGGAGCACACACTCACACATACATGAACACACGGGCACACAGGCACATATATGCACACACGGGCGCACAGGCACACACACTCACACGCTGTATCATGATAGGGGGCTCCTCTCCACCCTCAGCTCTCAGGCGAGCCTAGCTCACACGCCTTGAGCTGAGGACGCTGTAGGGGAAATGTGGGCTCAGTTGCTGGTTCCCAGCTGCCTCTGGCTTTATATCCAACTGGAGTCTTTTCTATTAATTTTTCCTACTGATGGCTCTATGGGAATGAGAGAGTGCACAAGAGCTGTGGGTTTACTCTGAGACAGCACCTTGTTTGGGTGCCTGGCAGGAATGGGGATGGAGGGGCGGGGTAAGGATTCCATCACTTCTAGGAACAAAGGTCTCCAAGGAGCTGAGGTTTGGTGAGACCAGTAAACACAAGGCTGGTGGTCTTTCCTCTCACTGCCACACTCCTCCCTCCAGCCCATCCATTCTTCCCATTGCTGCAGATGCCCCAGGCCCATGCTCTCCCCTATGGGGAGGTGGGAAGGCTTGGAAGAGGGCTCAGTCCCAAGGTTGATGTGGCAGCTTTGGGACTGGCAGCAGGGTTCTAAGCTGTCTAGACCCCTTCAACAGAAGGGTGGCTTCTCTCAGACTCCTCCAGGGCAGCACAGCAGAAATCCAGAGACCAGCCAGTTAGGGGAAAATGTTTGCGACCCAGTTACCAGATCTCGAGAGTTGGGCAGGGAGGAAGCTTGGATTCAGTTAAACCCGATTCAGCTGCAGTCACTGAGTACAGAGCATGTACCTGGGATGGGTTGGGGCAGGTAGGAAGGGTGAGGGGTGGCACAGAAATCACAAGACACAGTAACTGTCTTCTAAGGGTGCATGTGTCTTGGTGTGAGAGACTGGGGAACATCACATAGGCAGAAGAACTCCCGAGAGTGGAACTCAGACACAACGTGCTGCACACTGAGGCCATTGCCTCTGCCCACCCCTCCCAGAGCATACAGACACTGCCACTTGCCTGATCTTCCTGTTATCTTCCCTATTTTGTTTTTCTTTTAGAGTCAGGGTTTCTGTTTGCCCAGACTGGAGTCGCGTGGCACAATTCATAGCAACCTTGGACCTCTTGGGGCTCAAGTGGTTCTCCCACCTGGACTCTCGGGTACCTAGGAGTACAGGTGTGTGCCACCACACCCCAGCTAATTTTTTTTTTTTGAACTGAGTCTCATCTTGTTTGCCAGACTGGAGTGCAGTGGCGCGGTCTTTGCTCACTGCAACCCTCCACCTGGCCTGGTTCAGGTGATTCCTGCCTCAGCCTCCATAGTAGCTGGGATTACAGGCATGCGCCACATGCCCAGCTAATTTTTGTATTTTTAGTAGAGATGGGGTTTCGTCCATGTTGGTCGGCCGGTTTGGCAACTTCCCGACCTCAGATGA